ATTAATAAGTGCGTTAGAAGTTCAATGAATTTAGCTAAAATCATACAAAAACAGAGGAGGAAATTAGTTGAGAGATTAAATGAGAAAGACGAAGTATTTAAAGAGCAACATGAACAATAGCAACTTTAATAGTGAAACCCAAATATGTAACCAAAGGTGAGCCCGCAATTTCTTTGGCCGGCTATTGGGCTTAAAATTCGTGCGCGCGCTTAATAATTATTCAAAATGGCGCAGATTTTGAACATCGCCCGTCCAAGTAACCAAAAATCTCGAATCTTCACGCCTGGCATGCACAGGTATCCCATCGACCACAGGATCCCCAAAGATTACGAAGCGTTCTCCTAACGTCAAACGCAATAAGTAAAATATTAAAGTACTTTCTTTAGGGGATTTGAACCTACCTCCAAGAAGATACACCTAAAAGAAATAGAAGACATTGATATAAGTGTAATGCATTTTAAGTGACTCTTTGTTGAGGGAATATTATTTTAAAAGGGGTAATTTTCTCTTGTTTTGGGGCCTTAATTTTTTTGAGGGGAATTGATTCTTATTTGAGAGCTAAGTACACTTAGTTGACATAATTGCGCTAATTTCAGTGAAAACTTCATATTTCAGATCAAACACTCTTACTTTTTGAGTTTTTCACTTTTTTAAGAATCATACTTTTTGCAGTGTATCCATCAGTTGGATAAAAATCAAACCGTCTGTGTGAATTTAATCAAACAGACATGCCAGTCTGTGCCCAAAAACGTCATGTAAGTTTACAAATGTTAACACGATGTACACATTGCGTTTCACGGGCGGGGTCAGTTACCTTCGACAAAACAAGTTTTTACATTCAGAAAAATGGTAACCGTTGTTAGTGTTCCCGATGTAAATCAAAGTGCTCTGTGAGCAAACTCGTGAATTGACACATGATTTTTTAGATTATATTTAATGTTATCTGGTTTAGGGAATTTTGTGGTTGACTGTCATATCTAGAGTACGAGCAGTAGTTCGGTGTTTGCTAATGTAGCAAAGAAACAAAGTAACGTTGGGATAAGAAGGCATTACAATTAAAATGATCATGCTATTACATTTGACAAGGGTGGATGATGTCATGTGTTTTAAACGTCTATCATTTTTGTTTCTGGTTCAAAAGAAAAGGTTGGAAGTAAATGTGGGTGAAAAGTGAAATTTACTGTCTATCATTGTAAATATTAGAAAATCAAGGCAATACCGTCTTAATGAAAACATTATCGATTCCCTCTTTATCAAATGAGACAAACGAGAACGAGTTTTGAGTGATATAACTAAGCCAAGCCTGCCACCGTCATTTTGGATCTCCGCCTGCGTAGATTTAAGTCACGTGCTAGGCAACGTATAATCAATAACAAGATAGAATTTCATTTCAGGCCTATTTATCAATTTTGTGGTGTATAACTTTCGAAATTTAGTACGTTGTATGTATGTTGAATCTTCAAATTGTCTTGAAACTTAAAAGAAAATTGTTCTTTAAAAATTCACTGAAAATCGGTAGCTAAAATTGTTTGTTTAGGTGTTATTTGATTTTCGTGTTAACTTGTAATTTCGTCAGTCGCCGGCATCTTCTGTTGCTTCACACAGGAAAAACACACGCGACGAAAGGTAATGATCAATTTTGTCCTCAATCTCACGCCATAACAGAAAAAGCTTTTGAACATCTGTAAACTCCGAACGCTTCGCAGTAAGAGATATTTTCAATGAATCTTCGGATTGTTTTCAAGTTCAAGGATTATAAATTACAATTTTGTGAAAAACGAAGGTTGTTCTGTTATTTCAGTGTGAATCCTTGCATGCCTGCCAGTCACTGGCGCCGCTTGTTGAAACTAAAACGAAAAAAACCAAACTCTTTAAAGATTATCATTGGCTTCTTTTTCAGCCCAACACTATTCTTAGCAACAAAGGTCGCCATTTCGTTTGTTAATTGCTCGCCAAAAACTATCAAATGCACTCAAAAGCCTAAAATCGAAAAAAGTTTACAGGAATCGACCAATCGAGCGAGCGCCATTCCCCACATCGTATCTACAACTCACTCTTGCGCATGCGCGCAATTCACGAGTTAAAAATGAGTAAAATAAGGCCATTCGAAATTGAAATGTGTTTTCATGAAAATGTTCATCGCATGAACAGGAATCCCTCTTGTCATAAAATCTCCGTTTGGCCCGGCTCGTCTAATGTTGTTTCCTCGGCCTTCCAAAGTAGCTTGACGTTCTTCAGTGTCAGTTGTAACAGAGAGTATGATACAAATCGCACGGTCTTGCTAAATTTCAAATTAATTCAAGGCGGGGAATACTAGTCTGTTTGATAATTTAGACTCGTGCCCTTAATTTATGAAGAAGAGGATGAGCGATTGATTTTCAGGTTCCTAAACGGCTTTTTTTGGGGGGTTCTGTACAAATCAAAATCAATCTTTACACTTTGTTACCGTTTTTACCTCTTCGGTTCATCAATTTTTTTCACCTATTTTACTTCTATTTATAGAAGATTTTACGACTTTCTTACAATAGCTACTTGCATTCATCTTTGTTTTGCAGAGAAACTCTCATTTCAGTTTCTTACTTTTGGTTTCATCAGTCATACGACTAGAATATCGAACAAGACAAGCTTCTTGTGTAAAAGGTTAGCAGTAAAATAATAAATTTAGAAACAATCTTTCCCGCTTTACAAAACTGAAATGTTTCGCACCGGACATTCAAAGCCAGAGGATTTAAACCTCAAAATAATCTTAGATTTTGGCAAAGATTTGTTGCTAAAAACTTGACTTAAACTTATCATAGTCTGCAAATAAAATGACAAACTCAAGTTTAGGCCTTTAACTTTTTATCATCTTACTAAGTCTCCTTTGCAAATGTTACAAATATCACAGTAAATAGTTCTAGAGAATGAAGTGTTGCGTCAATTTGACACCATCCAGCTGATAAGTTTCTTTTTTCTCCAAAACTGTTTACTGAAGAATATATTGATACTGTGGGGAGAAATTGCAGGTTAAACAATTCTTAAGTATCAGAGTCTGGGAGTGAAAGAGTAAAGGCAGACACGCAATGTATCAACGGGAAATTCCGATTGTTAAATCTGAAATGTTTGTTAAAAAAAATAATATGAAACCTTTGTAAAAAATGATATGAAGATGCCATGTTTTTTATTAAAATTACGGGGAAGTTGAAAAGCCACGTAGTTCTGTTTTAGGTTTTCTAAACAATTTTTTGTTTAACAATAAAGCTGTTACTTTTTTTCATTCTTGCCAGATTGTCATTCATCTCTGTTTTGTAGGGAAAGCGTTAATAAATTCCCCCTTTTTTCAAAATTTTCTTTGTATCCTATGGATAAAAAATCTCTGGCGCATTAACATCGATACTTCAGGCGTGTTGAGTCATATTCATTTTATTCATATCTATCCAGAAGTCGAATAACAATCAAAACGCCTGTGTGAATTTAATCAAATAGATATGTAAAATCTGTGACCAAAAACGTAATGAGAAGTTTACAAATGTTAACTCGATGTACAAATTGCGTTTCACGCGCGGCGTCAGTTATCTTCGGCAAAACAAGTTTTCAGAAAGATGGTAATCGTCGCTAGTGATCTTAGTGTAAAAGATAGGTGAAATAAGTCCATTCGAAGCTGAAATATTTTTTCATGGAAATGTTCATCACATGAGCAGAAATTTTTCTTGTGATAAAATCTCCGTTTGGCCCAGCTCGCCTAATGTTTTTTCCTTCGCCGTCCTAAGTAGCTTAACGTTTTTCAGTGTCAGTTGTAACGCAGAGTATATTCAAATCGTAACAATTTGCTAAATTTCAAATTAATTCAAGGCGGGGAAATCTAGTCTGTTTGATAATTTTACCTCGTGCACTTAATTTATGGAGAAGATGATGAGCGATTGATTTTCAGGTTCCTAAACGGCTTTTTGGGGGGTTCTGCACAAATCGAGCTCAATCTTTACACTTGGTTACCGTTTCTCCCTCTTCGGTTCATCAATTTTTTTTCATCTATTTTACTTCTATTTTACGGAAGATTTTACGTCTTTCTTACAATAGCTATTTATATTCATCGTTATTTTGCATAGAACCTCCTATTTCAGTTTCTTACTTTTGGTTTCATCAGTCATACGACTAGAATATCAAACAAGACAAGCTTCTTGTGTAAAAAGTAAGTGGTAAAATAATAAATTTAGAAACAGTCTTTCCCACTTAACAAAACTGAAATGTTTGGCACTGGACATTCAAAGCCAAAGGACTCAAACCTCGAAATATTCTTAGATTTTGGCAAAGATTTGTTGTAAAAAACTTGACTTAAACGGAATCATAGTCTACAAAATAAAATGATGAACTCAACTTTAGGCCTTCAACTTCCATCACTTAATTAAGTCCCCTTTGCAAATGTTACAAATATCACAGTAAATATTTTTAGAGAATGAAGTGTTGCGTCAATTTGACACCGTCCAGCTGATAAGTTTCTTTTTTCTCCAGAACTGTTGCCTGAAGAATATATCGATACTGTAGGAAGAAATTGCAGGTTAAACAATTCGTAAGTGTAATCTGAAATCTTAGGAAAAAAAGAAGTTTTTGCTTCTAAGTAAGAAATACAAATCTCTTTTGAAGTAAATACCACAAAAAAATGGCGATACTTAGTAGCTGAGAATTTAGCAGGCCTCAAGCTGCAAAATAACCGCGCTAAAAATTTAGTGAAGTCCGCCGGGTAAGTGTGTGAAAATGAGCGCATGGGGTCGAATGGATGATTGGAGGTCAAGTGCATTTTCTGAAATAACACACATCTGTATCCGTCTTAATTTAGTGCTCTGATATCTGTTTCTTATGTAAACAAGTAAACTTTGCATGAGCCATCGCCCTTTTGACAATTGAAAGTTTTCAAAGAGCCAATCAAACGAAAGTTCTGTATCTCATAAATATGCCATGATCAAAATAGCAATTCATTTAAAACGGAGACCAGTCTTCAAACGAATGTTACAGAATCACTCAAAATGTCTCTGGAAAAACTATTAGATTATTTGGAGCCAAAAACGTTCGGCAAAATTCACTATGTGTCAGTGGTTTTTTGGATCCTGATTGGTGTCATCTTCCTTGCTATATTCGCCGACATGGAAAACAGCGAACCCAGGTTTGATTTCCGCTGTGGCGCAGCGAAAAGTCAAAACATCGACCTCGTCCGGGGAATATGTTACGAGAAATACCAGGAGCAATACAACAAATTCGCTTTGCCTGTCTATGGCTTCGTAATCATGAATTTCTTCCTTATTATATTCGTATGTGTTATCTACTCTCAAATAGTAAGACCTACAGTCAATCGACTGTCGCGAAGCATTCGTAACGGTGATCCAGAGAGACAATCGCGCAACCAAGAGAACGCATTATCAACGGGATACAAGCTTTTTATCGCTTACTGCAGTCAACTATCCACAAGACTTGTTTTAGGAGTTGTTTTCATCATCCTACAAACTCAGTTGCTTTATCCTTTAAAGTTTCCCTCCAAGTTTCACTGTCATTTAACCGATGGAACCACTCAGCCAACGAATTCATCTGACAACGCCCAACACTCGACTTTGCACGCTTGTCACAATCAACGAGCGGTAAAGAAAGCCTCCTGGATGGACGCTGTCCTTGTGGTAAATGTAATTTTTGTCGTTGGCATTCTGATTGAAATCGTCTACATTTTTGTTAGGGCATGCAAAGAAAGGGATTTCATGCAAAACTCAAAGTTTCAAGCATCTCATCTAAATCCTCCCGAAGAATCTCAGCAGCAAGAAGAAAGAACACAACTTGTAACAAACAACCCACATGACCCTCAGCGGCAAGAACGGACAGAAACAAACATCCCACAAGAAGTTCACCATGTAGAGGAAAGTAAAGACCATGAGACTAACATCCCACATCAACCGAGCGGGCCTGAACAATTCGTAAAATCACCGCTTCAGCAATTCATCCAGAATACAAAGAAAATGATAATGGACGACACTTATCAACCTCCACAACTTCAGTCGCTTTTTCCAAGTCCTCCTGGCAAAGGACACCCACCTAAACATTTGACTCTGGATCAGATTTACACAAACCTTGTTGTTGTACCTAACATGGCTGATTATGACTTTACTGAAGACAGAGGGAAGAATTTGGAAATCTACGCCAGGTCGGGTGTGAAAAACGAAACACCGAGAGGGCCAGAGGACATTCTTAATCACGAAAACAAAAACATTTTGATCGTCGGTCGTCCCGGTATCGGAAAGACACTTTGTTGTACAAAAATTCTCAGAGACTGGGCATCTAACAAAGTATTCCATGAAACAACCGATGACAAAATCCACTTTGATGCTGCTTTCTTCGTCAAATTCAGATTATTCAACGCTGCAACCGACCTTAGCCTTAGGGAGCTACTGACCCGCTCCACATACTCACCCAGGAAGGAGCTGGATGAGGAAGTCTGGAATTACATCCTAGAAAACCCGCAGAAAGTTCTCCTTATTTTCGATGGAATTGATGAATTCAAAGATAAATCAAAGATCGGCAAGGAAAATAATAAACCTCAATTCAAAAACAGCGTAGACGAGAAGATGCCCCTCTCCGCGCTTTATGCCAAACTAACGACTGGAATACTTCTCAAAGGGGCAGCAGTTTTAACTACAACAAGACCTACAGCTCTGTCACGCATCGAAAGTATTCGTTTTGACAAAACACTTGAGATCCTTGGCTTCTCATCCGAACAAGTCGAAGAATACGTAACCAAATTTGCTGAAGAAGACAAGGACGCAGGCGACACAGTAAAGCGTCACATCACCAGCAACATCAATATCTTATCTCTATGTTACATTCCTGCGAGTTGCTTCATCATTTGCTCAAGTCTCTTTAAAATGGTGAAGTTCTATACTCCTAGAGGTCTTAACCTACCAACAAGTTTAACAGGCATATACAAGAGAGCCGTGAAAATTTTCTACTTGAGACACAACGAAGAATTTCGCTATGAACCTTTCACTCGCAAAGACTTTGAATCAGATGAATTGCCCCCCGAAGACGAAAAAAAATTGGAGAAACTAGAAAAATTGGCATTTGAAGGAATTAAAGAAGGAAGGCTGATCTTTGGAGCAAACGAAGTACGCGGAATGGAAGACAGCGCTCTATTTCACCGCTTACCCGACCGTGAAGTTGACTCGTTTAGTAGCGAAGGACAGTTCTGTTTTATTCATCTAACAATGCAGGAGTTTTTCGCTGCGAAGTACCTAACTAACATGAGTGAAACAGAATTAAAAACTTTTGTTCAAATGAACATTAAGAAAGGCAAATGGCAGCTGGTTTTTCAGTTTGTAGCAGGATTAATGGAGAATAAAAATAACCTACCAAGCGAAATTATCACAGACCTTCTTCCTGTGAAAACTGAAGAAAAAGAAGACGAATACTACAACGTACAGTGGACAGAGAATGAAGAGAAAACGAAAGTGACCCGCTGGCCGACTTATGACGAACAATATTTAGCAGTGACATTAATGAAATGTTTAAACGAAAATAGTAGAATGAAGTCAGAAGCACAGAGAAAACTTCAACAAATTAACTTTAATTGTGTAAATTTTATCAATTGTGACCTCACAGCTGTTGATTTCTCTTCGTTAGTAAATGTAATTAATGTTCAACAAATTTCACATTTAGATTTAAGTGGCAATAACATTGGTCCATTAGGTTGTTTGGAGATTTGTAAATTGTTAAAATGTAGGAAATCTCAACTGAGCTGGTTAAACCTCACATTTAATCAATTGACAGATGAAGCAGCAAAGTATTTAGCTGAAGCCATCAACAACAACAACTGTCAGCTACGCACGTTAATCCTCTGGATAAATAAAATCTCAGACATTGGAGCACAGCACTTGGCTGAAGCCATCAACAACAACAACTGTCAGCTACGCACGTTAGACCTCAGAGCAAATAACATCACAGAAGCAGGTGAGCAAAAGGCACGTAATTTACTAAGCAATAGTCAGTCTAAATGTGAGCTAAAATTTTTTGAGGCCTCAGCAATTCCCATTAAAAACTAAAAAGAAATTATTAAAACCACTTACTATTCAAAATAACTGTGAGGCAACCAGCTCAGTGATAATTACAGCCCAACAACTCAAATCGTGAATGAAAGCAAACTTACTCTGTTTATCAATAAAGGGCAAAATTACTGAGCGCTGATTGGTTGAGAGAGAGGGCATTTTTTCTTAATCGAGGGCATTTTTAGTAATCAAGAGAGGGCATGATTACCTGTTAATGATTGGCTAATCCGTTGCATAGTAACCGTTCGTCATCTTGAAATTTGTTAAAAATAGATTGCGCGCGTGATTTTCCTTCGTATAAATTTTGCCCTTTATTGATAAACAAGTAATCCCATGAGACCTCGTGCTATTAAGGATTAATTACACTTGAGTTTTCAAAATTTTCCAAATTGCCAAATTTTGGAAAATTTTGAAAACTCTCGTGCAATTAATCCTTAATATTACTTGGCCTCATGTGATTACATATACGAAGCGCTCAGAGCAGCGAGATTATTTGAACCGGATCGAAATGAAGAAAAATGAACCAATGAACATGTTTATTGAGAACAAAGGATGTCAATCTTTTTTTTTTATACACAAACTAATAACATCGAAGTAAAAAACACAAACCTTCCCGCAGAGAAAATAATTAAACCTCGGACCTCTCAGGAAACTTTTTCATTTTATGATTGGTTTGTTTCGATCCTAAATTCTCTCCATGCTTCTGTATGTTTTGATCGCCAGGAGTTTTGTGTGAGATTTTAAGCGGATTTGATGAATGTTTACATTACAGATTACCTGGTAGAATGCCAGGTTTTCTCTCTTTCATTTCTTGTGTTTTCAACAATTCTCTTTTTGATTTTTTTCATTTCTCGTGTTCTCTACCATTTTTTTTTTATTAAAGCGAACCAGTTCAAGTAGTTTCACACTTTGGGCAAAATATTGAAAAAATGAGACCAAATTGTAAATAAAATCATCTTGCTTTCAGACAGAAGGCCTGTTACTTGTTCAATATAATAAATGTTGTAGAGTTTGCATTCAAAATCTGATGAAGCATCAGACTTACCCAGTTGAGATTTTAACTTACCAGTTATTGTTAACCCTTTAACTCCCATGAGTGACCAAGACAGAATTTCTCCTTACAACATCAATACAATGTCCACTACATAAGTGATGAGAATAAAGAAAAATATCAATTTGGGGATAATAAGCTGATCCAATACTAATTTCTCTGAACTAACATTATAGGAATTGTATGGTTGACATTTAGGAGAATTACAAATTTGATCTGGGAGTTAGAGGGTTAACAAATGGAGCCAGACTTCCAAATTTGTCAAGACTGTACAATAAATTTTGTAAACCGAATTCAACTTTGTGTTGAGATACATTTGGACTCATTTGTTAGACACAACTTGAAAGCTATGGCGAAGGGGTGTGGTCTTTTCAATATCAGTCCGGATTTACCAATTCACCAGAGAGACTGCCTCAAGGTGAGGGTATGAGGCAACCCTTAAAAAAACCCCCATACCCTATCTCAAATTGAATGATTTTCCCCTCCTTCTTTCAACCCATGCCTTGAAACAACAGTAAAATATCTAAGGAAGTGTAGTCACATGTAATCAATGTACCATATATCCTTGAGAAGGTTCCTGGCCAGTTTAAGGACACCTGTTAACCTTTTTTAAAGCAAGATTCATGAAATCAGTGGAACTCAGCACACACAAATAACAGAAAATAAATCAGAGATAAGAAATAAATCCCACAGGCAAAAAGAATGGGGAGAGGAGGCAAGGAAACCTCACAAAGATTTCCACTTGTTGCATCTACGAAAAAACATGATAAATGAGACTTCCTCTAGTTTTTTTTTTTTTTTTTTTTTTTCCCAACAGAAATTTACAGTATTAGCAATTATAAGTTTAAAAAGAAGAAAAATCAACTTTGAGTCCATAAAGCTACATGTAATTAGCTCACCATGTCAATACAGTGATAAATAATGATGGGAAATAGTCCCTAAAATAACTTGTCTGAATGTTAAAAAATTATACCAGAGTACATTTACAACTGAAAAGTATAATAGTATATACAAAGCTTGCTAAGAAATCCATTGCTTCTTTGTTAATACGAGTAAAAAGAATCAACAAAATGGTGACACAACATAAAAAAAGAACACTGATGCAGAATTACTGGGATCAATATCAGTATCTGGGCAACTGCTCACCTACCCCTCCCCTAGCTCAACAACAGTCAATTGACAACAAGTTAAGGTTAATGTTGGGTTAGGGGAGGGGTAGGTGAGCAGTTGCCCAGATACTGATATTGATCCCAGTAATTCTGCATCAGTGTTCTTTTTTTATGTTGTGTCACCATTTTGTTATTTAATTATTATTATCTATCAGTTGGACCCCTAGGTCATAATCATAGGCTGATTGACTTGTGTAATGTTTGTGCATAATATTTGTCCCAACAGAATTAAATAATTTGCAATATCATGATGAAATAGATGTGCTTAACTATGTTTTCTTTTGTAGCACTAATTGCTCCAATAAAGAGGAACATTTTACAAAACATTAGAGGAAAATGCACCTTCTTTAACTCCCATGAGTAACCGAGACAGAATTTCTCCTTAAAATATCAATACAGTATCAACCAGATAAGTGATGAGAATAAAGAAAAATATCAATTTGGGAATAATTTTTTGATCCAACACTAAATTCTCTGAATGAACATTATAAGAACTGTATAGTTAAGATTAAGGAGAATTACCAATTTGATCTGGGAGTTAAAGGGTTAATAACCAGTACTTCTGAATGGCTTTAAAGACTTGAGGTTGTTTTTGCAGGAGTAATGGGCAACTCCGTTGAGCTGTTTTTTAAAACAGGGTTATAGCCTCCTTGAGGGGTTTGCCTGATCCAAAAAAAAAGTTTTTGGCGAAGTTTACACCAAAGGCAGTGGAGACAGCATTGATTACAGCATTACAATTGTCTCTTTGTTCTTAAACCCCTTGAAGATAAAGTTTCTCTATTTTAATTGTATTAAATTCCACTTTTTGATTTTGCTTTCATGCTTGACACTTGGTTGGTGAACATTATTCTAAAGATAGAACAGACACATTCAAGTTTGGAAATGTTTTTCTTTTTGGAATATTGAAATGTTATTTTATTCTTCCAGCCCCCATCCTGTCATTTCCTTTTACAATGAACCTCCCTACCCACTAAAAATTTACAGTACCATTAATAAAGAAATGGCATGAATTGAAGAATTCCTTGTAAATTACTGGGTAAATAAAAGAAACAACAGAAAAAATTGCCATAGTATGCAAATGTGTTGAGTTGATTCAAAGCTCTCAAGTCTCATGCATTGAGCGAGAGACTCATGCAAACAAATTCAATCTTACACTCTCATGCTAAAGCCAGTATTTCTCACCCCTTTAAGGTTTCATATTAATTTGGTTGAATTTGCGATAGCAAACTGCTATCGCAAATTCTTGTAGGTACTTTCATTAAGTACCTACAAAATTAATTATCCTTCCAAATATAATTTACTCCTTCAGTTGTTTCTTATGCACTCATGTCACACACTTTTTAACGGCAGAATTTTCTCTCAGATTAAAGGAATGCACATCTCAGCTATTTCATTTTTTTCACAATTTTCTGTGGGAACATGCCCCCATACCCTCTTCCCCCTCCCACCCTTGATAGATGATGCCCATGAGATCTCACTCTTTGCCAGCAAATGGACTTGAAAGCTCTGGTTGACTAATTGTAATCAATTTCTACACCTTATGTCTCTTTAACCCTTTAACTCCCATGAGTGACCAAGACAGAATTTCTCCTTACAATAATTGAATACAATATTAACCAGGTAAGTGATGACAATTAAGAAAAATATCAATTTGGGAATAATTAGTTGATTCAATACTAAATTATCTGAGTTAATAGATAAGAATTGTATGGCTGACAGAAAGGAGAATTACAAATTTGATCTGAGAGTCAGTTTAAGGGTTAAATAACATCTCATTAAAAAGAAAAGCACCTTATTGTCATTCAAAAGCAAAAAGACAAACTTTAGTGCAACACAATACCAGTCATGAGATTTCACTTTCTGGAAAAGTATACAAGAAGGTTTCAGCCAATCAGTGACTTTTGCATAAGTCTTGGAATAAAAAGGGAGATTTTTGTCCAATATTGCTCCAAATTAAATGCACAAATGACTCAACAAAGACTAAATTTAGGTCAGTATAAAAATTTAAGAAACTGACTACCTTCAAGTCCAGTTCTATAGATTGAATCTCTAATTTTGCTGATCCAGATCTTTCACAAGCAAAACAGTAAGCATTTGAACAAGATCTTAGGTCATACAAGAACTTTGCTTTCTGTTTTCCACAGCATTCGACTACATGATTTTTTTCAGCCATAAGATTTTGGTTACATTTTTCTTGCATAGGACCGAACCATTTGTTCTGTATACGCGAAGTCTTGAATTTTGTTCGTTAAATTTTGTACATGTCAAAGACACCACTAAACAATGAATGATTTTGGACAGTGTGGGATAACTGTACACAAAGTCAATCACGATCAAAAAAGGAAAGGCTGATATGTGGCAGGTAATGGTTTTTACTACCTCAACCAGCCTTTTATCCATAGTTAGGTAGCACATAACACCAGCAGCGACAAAACTCATCGATGGACGAGTTGAAAGTTAGCATAAATGTTAAATGAAACTTGTATTGATTACATGGGTATATGTATCTTCTTAATGGTTCCTTTCAACAAATTTGAGTATGTATATATCTTGATCTACATCCAATCAGGGTAATAGCTCACCTTGTACTTCGTTTCATAAATTTTGAAATACCTCCCACAGTAGAGTCACTCCATGGAAATCCACTGTTTACAAATAAAGTGAATATCTCCTAATGAATATCAAGAAGTATCCCGAGCCTCCAATCATCTTCTTCGTTAAATTCTGGAATTTCTAGAACCTTACGCAACAATTTTTTTCTTTTTTTTACGTCGGTAATACGAAAGGCATTTTGATTATCTCTATGTCTAGCGCCCGACTCGGTGGCCATACTTATGACCCGTTAAAGGAGGTACGAAAATTACCACTAGCTGCTGGTACACTTCACGACACATACACAACATATTATGATGGCCCATTCATCATGGCGGGAAGAAACGCGTTATTGTTCTGATTTTATTATATTTTGCAAAAAGCAGCAAGTATATTTCTCGGCGCTGGCATTCATTCTTCCATTGCTCTTTTATTTTCTTGCAATGAGCATATCAGACTTTCCCAGAGAATCGTGATCGCGTGGTATTTATACCACCAGAAGACCCTGTGCAATTTAGAGTGGTAGATCTGAGGAAAATGGTTGTTAGGGCAGTCAAAAAAGATGGTAAAGAAATTTAAGAAAGCAAACTGGATAAACAGTTTGTTTTTCACAAATGCAAACAGTTTGGGGGTGATGTACTTAAAAGGCTATGCAATTTGTCTATTCTAATCCTACAACCCACAATTTTGTTTCTTTAAAGTGCTAAATTGAATAGCAATGCAGTTGTTAAACGTAAAAATTTAAGCACTGACTGTCAATTTTTTGGTAGATTTGCAGAATTTATATGGTGTATTTTCATGTAGGGAGATCTGAGCCTGGATGGGAGAAAGAAGCATGCAGATCAGTTTGGTGGCCTGAAGAAGTTGAATTCACAGCTGTGAATAATAGCATAGGCGGCCCAAGCTCACATCTCGAGAAAAAGCCAACGATGAATTCATGAACGCGTCACGCGTTGTGTGACTCGGTGTTAAGTTACGGGAGGAACCGTTGAAAATTTGAACACGTTATAAGGCATAGTATGGGGAACGAAATATGGTCGATTTATAACGATAAATATTTCGAAATCTGATTTACACGTAAAATCAATAAAAACTTACTCATGCCCTGTGTATCCGTCGAAGTTTCTAGCGATTTCTGCTGTTTTAAGCTTGCTTTACCATCACTGTTATCCATGTCAAAAGACGATTTCGAAATATTTATCGTTGTAAATCGACCATATGTCGTTCCCCATACTATGCCTTATAACGTGTTCAAATTTTCAACGGTTCCTCCCGTAACTTAACACCGAGTCACACAACGCGTGACGCGTTCATGAATTCATTGTTGGCTTTTTCTCGAGACGTGAGCTTGGGCCGCCTGTGATAATAGCAGCAAGCGACCACATCTGGATGTTTAATTTCAATCATGCATTCATACAGAAATTGGAATCGACAACAACAGCCTCAAGAGGTTGACATCACAGTAGATGATGAGGATCATGTGTACTATAGGTGGACTCGGTCGACATATCGGGCGACAGTCGATCGATATTTCGGTCGACTATCGGTCGACTATCGGTCGATAATCGGCCGGCTATCGGTCGATAGTCGGTCGATAGTCGACCGATTGTCGACCGATAGTCGACCGATAGTCGACCGATAGTCGACCGATATATCGGTCGACTGTCGCCCGATGCATCGGCCGATATGTAGCGATCAACTGCCGGTGAAGTATCGGTCAAGTATCGGTCAAGTAGCGGTCAAGTATCGGTCAAGTATCGGTCAAGTATCGGTCAAGTATCGGTCAAGTAGCGGTCAAGTATCGGTCAAGTATCGGTCAAGTATCGGTCAAGTATCGGTCAAGTATCGGTCAAGTCAAGTATCGGTCAAGTATCGGTCAAGTATCGGTCAAGTATCGGTCAAGTAGCGGTCAAGTAGCGGTCAAGTATCGGTCAAGTATCGGTCAAGTAGCGGTCAAGTAGCGGTCAAGTATCGGTCAAGGATAGGTTAAGTGTCGGTCAAGTGTCGGTCAAGTGTCGGTCAAGTGTCGGTCAAGTGTCGGTCAAGTGTCGGTCAAGTGTCGGTCAAGTATCGGTCAAGTATCGGCCAAGTATAGGTTCACTTACCGACCATATCGCTCAGAAGAAAATAGGCTAAGAAAGAGTGCGAGGTTTTTTCGATATATGTTCCCATTTGGTAATGGAAAAATACATTGTAAAGTTGGTCGCTCTTGTGTAACTAATGTTGTACCTTAACGTATTTCCATTATTCGTAAAACTACCCGGCTTATGCTTTATCCCTGATGTCATGCTGCCCTAAATCCAACATACCTAAAATGATTATTATTCCTTAGCTCTTATAGCTCTAACAGGGTCTCAACGTTATATTCCTTGTACAACGTCACCGATATTAACTGTCCAGTTTATGTCGGTAATGGATCCACCTAAATTGTATCAGCTAAAATTGCAGTGTGTAAATGCCCAGCTTAACGAAAAGCAAATGATCTTTTGAAACTGAACAAGGCGGTTAAACTCGTAAGCAAAGCGATTTTGTAAAGACTTCTTTTTGCAGTGCAAGGTCAGCCGTTGTTTGTTTTTTTTTATTATTGTTATTTTACCTGGAATAGGGCGTCTTTTTGGGGGTTTGGGCCTTAACAACGGTATCAATTTTTTTTATCCTTAGATAGGGAACTCCGCAGCACCCACCTGTCGGAAATACAGTACTAATCCGCTTATAAGAACCTAGAATTCACGAACCTGTTAGACTAGAGTTTTCAAAATAAATGAGTTGTTTGTCATTGGAGGGCGTGGCCTATTTTTGGTATTGTATGTGGTTTGGCAGATGGGCATACACTCATCAATTGCCCAAACAGATGCGGCTTTTGCGGCGACTCTATTACGCGATGCCAATGTTAAGATTCTAGTCTAGTACGTGGAGTCATGGACAGTGAAACTCCCAAGAAGAAGAGTGTGGACAAGACGCCGAGTACAAGTAAACGAAATGCGGAACCCGGTGATCTGGACGAATGGTAAGGCATAATGTTTATTCGTTAATTCAAGGTGAAAGAATCAAAACAAATATTTTGAAGCAAGCCACCTTATGATGATGATGATTTAGCATCAAGTTTATTTTAGATTATAACAGACTAAAGAATATATACATCGAAAATAGATCACAAACAAACAAACAAACATGAAACAAAACTAATCAGTTGCATGGGATATCCGTTCAAACCGGCATTTGTGAGTTAACTAGTTTTTTTCATTTGTTTACAGTGTAGAGGAAACCAGTAAAGCCGCCCGCGGGAAGGGAGAGAAGACAAGCTCGACCAAAAAGTTTAAAGACATGAAAAGTGACCTCGAAGCTGCCCGAGAACGGATTCGGCGATCCGACGAACGATACAAAAAGATGGAGGCCGAGTATCAAGCTACCATAGCGGCAATGCAAAAACGCATTGAGGAGCTAGAAGGTACGAAAAAACAATTATCACAAATGTATGTTTCCATCGTTTTTAGCCAATTTTGTGGACTCAAACGGGAATCACCGCGTTTGTAGGAGAGAGAAACGCACAGAAATTACCTATGTTCTTCAGGCTAATCTTAATGAAATTTTTTCTCATGTCGAGGACATTGAGTCGACATTGAGTGAAGAATGACGTGCATTAATAATTCGCCCACTTATTTGCATCTCATTGAAAAAGAATGGCGAACATTGATAGGTACCTCAATCTTTAAAACACACACGGACAAATATAAATGACCAAGTATTCGAGAATTTTATCTTACCCTGCTACACGTGTTAATGAATTTAAAACCACACCCACTCAACCTTTATACCTGCACTGTATAATGAACAACATAGGGAGCTCCCCACGATTTTAACACAATTTCCGATCGTTCTCCTCCGTGTAAAAACTCCACCGTTCTTGCTACAATTTTTTCGGAGGATCGTTTCCAATCGTGTAGTAACTATTTACAATCGATATTTTGGAAATGATAAAGGTTGGGGATTATTTGAGGCGTGGCGTTGTATAAATCTATTGTTGTATGAAGCTTAAGTCAGTCCAGGGATACGATTGCAGTTAAATTAGTATATGTTTTGGCTTTGTAGGGGCGACTTTTCAAGACGGAGACGTTGAGGACGAATTGTGCGAAACCGAAGAGGAGGAGCCAAAGCCAAAGGAGCCAAAAAAAGACAAGTGCTCAAAAAAATTCCCGAGGTTTGTTAGAAATTTGACTGAACACATTGCATCCTTAACTATACTATCGTAGATCGTCAAAGATAACAAAAAATCTAGCAGAAAAGTGACGTAGGCCATGGGGACGATAAAGTTAATACGTCTCTTGCAAATTATCTGAAAATTCTCCACGAACTATTGCCGGACGACTTTTCTGAACTGCCCAAATAAAAAAATACGAGAAACTGTATGTGAAATGTGATAAGGTTCAGTAACACTTTGGACTTTCTGACTTACTATCGCGCTATACCGCCGGATTGTAAAAGAGTATACGACCACGGCTGCTAATTCTAGAAGAAAATGTACATGATAATTTGACAAATATCTGCCAAACTTATCCTTTAGAATAGGTAAAGTTTCAATATTTCATAAATTGGGGAAACGAATGGTAATAAATTCTGAATAAGGACATTTTTCTTTCTAATATTCTAGGAACGGTCCAAGGATCCAATTTACAAGGAATTCATGACAGGTATTTAGGCGTTCTCGAAACAATGAAAGAGAACCAGTGCTCCCTTACAGAGGCCATGCGACCTTCTGGTGTCCCACGGAACACCCTCAGGGACTTTATAGGCATCTGCGAACTCAGAATCATCGACAAAGAAAAGTACGAGAGAGTGGTCCAATTGGTTAAGGAAAAGACGGGTAAGGTGTCGATGAAATTAATTGAATCGAAATGTAGGGAAGCGCTCAGTGATTATCGCGCCCAATCAAGTAGGTTAAAAACCGAGCAAAAGCTTCTCCCGTTTTACCCAAAGGATGATTTTTATATGGGAAAATAATTAAAGAAATTTATTAAACTAGTTCATCCATTATCTTACCGTATTTACTCTATGAAGCGCCACGTTTATTCTTTTTTTTTTTCGGTGCGGGACGCTCATTAGAGAGCGGAGCTTATTCAACAACCATCATATTTCTGAAAAAAAAAAAAAAAAAAAAAAAAAGAGATAGCTATAAAGGAAATTATAACCATAGCCTTTTCAAACTGAAAAAGATTATACTATGGTTATGTTCCAATGTAATTAGTTTCCTCAAATAAGTGCCGCCGGCAATATTAGATGCGGCACACATTCTGGGTGGGGCTCAAACGAGTAAATACGGTGATTTTATTGATTATTTACCACTATAGATTTTTTTTTCTATTGGTCTCAGTTTTTTTTTTTTTCTTTCCGGCTATGACCCCTAGAATGTTTGTTGTTATTAAGTGTAACTCGCTTGAATTCTTCGACGCTGTTACTTTTTGGGTTTTAGGTTAAATAAGATTCTGTGTATTCGTTTTTTTTATAATATTTTCATCTCCACGGACAGTTTATACTTAGCAATGTGTTAACAGAGTAAAATTTTGGCTAAAAGAAATTGTTGTTAGGATTTAAAGAAAAAGGCCCTTTTAATGTGTGCCAAGAAAATGTTTTAGATCACTAAGTTTTGAAGGAATTTTGATTGTTGTTACTGTTCTTTAGGCTTTAAATGTAGACCATAATGATAATAGAATGCTATGCAATAAGGTTGGTGCGCCTTTTTGGAAAACGAAAACGAGTAACCAAAAATTACTGCTTTTGGAACGAACTTCGTAGCTGATAGTGAACTGTTGATAGTTATTAATTACACATCCACTTTTATATTGTACAAAACCATAACAAATGATTATCCTGAAATAAAGTTCATGATTGAAAGATGTGTAGCAATGTGAAGCAATTATTATCTTAATCTCCATGATCCTCATTATTTTTAATGGACGGAAATTAGAAAGTTAAATGGGGGAGGGGACTGAGGGGAATTTTCGAGCTGCAAGCATTTTTTCCCCCCTCATTTTTCCTATAGAGGAAAGTTTTCGGGGAAAACCCCGGCACATCTTTGGAAGGAAAAAAAAATTGAAACAAAACTTTAACCGCGTTACTCTCTTGGCGCGTGAGTAGTTCCCTCTCCATCCACTCAAATTGGAGAGCTCAGTTTTACCACTCGAAAAATCTTGCCTTTTTACAAATCAAAGGAAAGAAAGTAAATTAAGCTTTCGCTAAAATGCATGCGATCGAAAACCATTTCCCATTTGAGTTTTGGAATGTAATTTTTTTTTTGGATGACAAACTGCAGTTACCAGTATACATCTTATATTACGCAGGACAGTAAGGAAATTAACCAATGTTTTTTAAAACACTTGCACACAGCCATTGTTTTGCTCCATAAATCATTTATTTTTCCAGGCTCTCGGTGCGATCTTCGTCGCCATGTTTATTGTGACGCACAAATCGTGCAGCACCTATAATTGTTGGTGCATCTATAATTCGTGTTTAAACCTCTCGAACGCGGAGTAACCGTTTATGTCCCCCCTTTATTCCACCAGTCCCCCCTCCAAAGAAATGTGAGCGCGCTTTCTTTTCTCTATTCTCAGCCTTCTTGTGACACAAATAGGCCGCTGCGGAGGAGAGAGTGTAAACAGCCATTTCAAGAAAGGTTGTCGTACAAGAGCGTAAAACCGTGCGCTACAATACCAACAGGTTGTATGGGCAACGGTTATTTGCTTTTGTTTGATCGAAGCTCACAGTCTAAGCCGGAAGGAAGGAGAATCCATGAACATGCGTGCTCATGCTATCTCTCTCTATTGCGCTGAAGCAACGGGAACTTCGACCAAGCAGTGGTAAATTACTTTAACCCATAAAGCCATTTGGTATTGTCGCATACGCTTTTAAGCTTTTGTCGGACAAATATCTCGAAACAGTTGTATCCCTATAAAGTGGATTTACAAAGCTACGGAACCTAATACGATCTATATTTTCAACCGTCACCACCATTTAGTACACCAGCGTTGAAGACTACATCATCGGAAAGTGAAATTTCCTTACTCGCGGTCCAATGGGAACAAACAATGTTAGAATTGTTTTGACGTTTACTAAAAACACGCGCTTGATATAGAATGAAATAGAAATCAAAACTTTATGAGTGCGGCTGGAAGTATTGCGAGTTCACTCTACCGACGTCCTGTTTGCCGTTATGTCTCAAACTGGAGGTTTTTAACCCTTTAAATAGTCGAATTGTGTGCTCTTTATCGACAGACGGTGACACTTTTTTTTAAAGAATAATGACAGCGGCGGCGGAAAAAAAAGTTAAAATGCCATTCATTGTCCAATGAAATAAGCTTCCAAAGCACAGATAATAAAACCAAATATAACCTAACCTTTGAAAAGGGTGTAGTAAGTCTCCAACGCATAAACATCGTGCGTTGTAGATCTCATAGTTTTGGTCTACTGTAAGTGAACACAGATCCTTAATTCTCACACCACATCTATCTCCGGAAAGGTAACAGACAAAGTCAATAGGTTGAATATACTTGAAAAACTGGAGAGGGTAAGGGACCGTGCACTTAGGTATGACATGTATTTATAGCAAAGACCCTTCATTAAGAAAGAATGCTCAATTTGATTGGTTTAAATAACACATTAAAAGGTCGTCTCACCCAAGATATGTTAATTACGATAGACAGATGTTTTCAAAAGAAGACACCCACCACTACAGCTAATTCATTTCAAGTAAAGAACACGCATCTTAATGAAAGGGGCACAAATATGCTTTGATACCTAAAGTAACATGTACAAAACATGGTCTAAGGTCTCTTCGTTACTTCGCCGCTGTAAGGACTTGGAATTCGCTACCGGAGACGACACGCACCATGGCCGGCACAAGAGAAATTTAAAACTGGATTCCAGACATGCAATTTACATCTAAATTATGAGGTAATCATATTACTTATTAGAGTTTTATATCTTTTATCGTGGAATAAACCCTCCTCCCCGGGGGGCCATGAATTATCGGCCAAGTATCAGTGAAGTATCGGTTAAGTGTCGGTCAAGTATCGGTGAAGTGTCGGTCAAGTATCGGTCAAGTACCGGTGAAGTATCGGTCATGTATCGGTCAAGTGTCGGTCAAGTATCGGTCAAGTATCGGTCGTGAATCGGTCAAGTATCGGTCAAATTTCGGTCAAGTATCGGTCAAGTGTCGGTCAAGTATCGGTCAAGTGTCGGTCATGTATCGGTCAAGCATCGGTCAAGTATCGGTCGTGAATCGGTCAAGTATCGGTCAAGTGTCGGTCAAGTATCGGTCAAGTGTCGGTCATGTATCGGTCATGTATCGGTCAAGTATCGGTTATGTATCGGTCAAGTATCGGTCAAGTATCGGTCATGTATCGGTCAAGTATCGGTTATGTATCGGTCAAGTATCGGTCAAGTGTCGGTCATGTATCGGTCACGTATCGGTCATGTATCGGTCAAGTATCGGTCGAGTATCGATGGTTTAAGACTATATCGGTCGACACATTTATCGGTCGACTATCGACCGACTATCGGTCGATTATCGACCGATAGTCGGTCAATAGTCGGTCGATAGTCGGTCGATAGTCGACCGATAGTCGACCGATAGTCGACCGATAGTCGACCGATGTATCGGTCGACTGTCGCCCGATATGTCGACCGAGTCCACCTATAGTACACATGATCCGATGATTCTGCTCATAATCCTGTGATTCCCATTCCTGTATCATCAACACAAGCTTCTGCTTTTATTTCTGATCCTCCCTCATCTGCCCCTGAAGTTTTTGCAAGCCTCATTTGCCCTCCTGCTCCTTTATCAACACCTGCTGTCACCACTTCTGTTTCTGATCCTCCCTTTGCAACATCTGAAGGTCACATTCAACCTCCTCTTGTATTTGAGGACATTGTAAAGAGGAAATTTGGGAGTGAATCAGTTTACTGTGGTAATACATGGCAATCTGTACTGCAAACCTGCAGTGAACTGAATCAGATCCAAACATCAAAGATGCTGAGTATTCTAGGAAAACTGAATGAAGATGTAAGCTTCCTGTTATTAATTGAACTCCTTTTTGTTCATTACTTTTTGTGCATGTATGTGTGGCAAAAAAATAAACAAACATACTATTTTATTTATTTCACAATTTAATCTAGTCTAGGATGCAAGTATTTTATTTTGAATTTACCATTCCTAAACATTCTCTGTGTCATTTCATGAGCTGTCAGCTAGAGTTTTAACACCAGTTGTTTAGCTAGAAACCTGGGAAGGGGGCTATGTCCAAGCAGTTTGGTCCTACTAACTCCAAAAGGTGGATATTGTTTATTTAAGGGTCCACTAATGCCAGGCCAATTCCAGCTCTTTAGTGTGATGTTCAAAAAGTATTTTTTCAACTTGATGATTAGGGTTGGGGCATTTAATGAGGAATCCATCATGAGGGAAAACATTCATGAGAGTTAATTAACAGCCTTTGACTATAAATATGAATGTTATTTTGTTTACCAATTTGTGATTTACCTATTAATGCAAGGTGTTTTTTCCTTTCCTAGACTGAAATCCATACAATCATAAAGTACCAAATTGCAAGGGACATTTAATGGTGCATGGTCACATTGCCTTGGGAGGTGGACTCAAGTTTATCTCCTCACATCCTGGAACATCTCTCAAAGATCTCTCCTTGTCAGTTTATCAACAGCAAGAATCAGTGCAGACTTCCTGAAGGGTAAAAAGTTCAGTAAAAGTTATTAACTTGAAACCATCATCATCATCATTGTTACTATTATCATTATTTTCATTTATAAATTTTATTGTATTGGTTGTCATTAACTTCATATTCTATTGCTTTTAGAGATTTTCCAGCTATGTTGACCAGTCTATTTATGAGCTTGGTCTGGAGTCATTCTACTCAAGTGGGGATGGAAACTGCTTCTATAATTCACTATCCATACTCGTGTCTGGACATGAAAGTGACATTGAAATTTTTAGACTGGGTGCAGCAATGTATGGTCTTGCTCACTATGACCACATTGTTGATGCAGTAAGAACAATCAGTTATTTTTTGTTATGTTTGCTAAGCTTATTAGGGTACAATTTTAATGTCCTTGTTTTATGTTTTAAGTGAACTTTAACAGAGGTCAACCTCTGGATCTCCTTTTCAAAGCTGAGACTGAGGCATAATAAATCAATCTTAAATTAATGTTTGAAAATTCATTTCTTAGTTCTTTCTTTAGGTGCTTGTTTATGTGGTTGCTTGTTATACAGAAATATGTTAATCCAGTTATTAGAGAAATTTGCTACTTTGATATTCTTGGATTACTTAGCAAGCAATATAAGGTTGGGATTTTTTTTCTTTATCCTGTAAATACTAACTGCCATTCATGTCAATTCATTTCTTTTCATCAACTTCATTTGTTTCATGGACTGCTTGAAAAACCTAAAATCCTTTGATCACTTTTGATAATTACACAATGACTTTTTGTGCTCACGTTTTTCAATCATATTTGACAACTGTCCAATAAACTAATATCTGTAGAAGCCATCTCAGTGTCGTGTTAACCGTTCCTGTGGTTATTTATTACCCTCTCTTTTAGAAGTAACTAAACTGCATTTTGAAAAATTATATTCCTTTCGCAATATAACTTTAAAACGAGTTACTTTGTGCTTCTGTCATATGTCTTTTCACAGAATGCGACGCATTTTACTGATAGAGGTGATGCTTTGCAGTGGGCAGCCAGTGTGAGCCTTTCACCAAACGAGGTTCAGGAAATTAAAGACAAATCCATTCCAGAAATTGTCGCAAAAAGGCAAGTCTTCAATGCCTTAAAGAATTTTACTGATATAGGTAACTAACTTGTGACTTGTTCGTTTTAAGGATTGGCTCTCATTCTTTTGAATCAATTCCACATCTTTATCATCTCATTACAACCAGGTATCAGCTCGTTTCTCCACGCAAGTTGGCATTACTATACTGACATCCGCAGTTTTTTTTTTTTTTTTAAATCTTGCAGGTAACCTTTGCTGCCGGCTTTTTAAAGAAAGCAATACAACAGCACTGCGATCTGTCTGGGGCTGTATGGTACAACACAAAACAAAGTCGTCCTTGTTGCTTCCAGCCAGACAGGGAAGAGGGGCCCTTTCACATCATCTGGCTGCCACTTACAGGACAAGGAAACACCTTCAACCATATATGCCCCCTTCTGCCATGGAAGTGTGGTGCACTGCGTGTTTTGGCGAGGACTTAACACCCAACATTCAAGTCGCAATGAGATGGTGCAGTGCCTTACCTGCTTTGCGTGGTACCACCGCGTTTGTTTGGGCATACCTTTCGAAGAGGCCAAGGAGTCCACCATAGTGGATTGTGGCTGCACGTTGCCCCACCCATATCGGAGCCACGACATGTGAGTGTACAGTGGAATCCCTATTTTTCGAACCTCCTGATAACTCGAACCCTTGAAATTCTGTTTCCCTTCCCTCAGTCGAACACTGCAACTTTACCCCGATTCCTAAAGCTACCTTATTATTTGAAGAAAGTTTTGTTTATCTTGAATGTTCCATAAAATCTTGATTCCACTGTACTTTCTCTCCGTCTATTTTGTTTTGGCTCGTTTATAATGTTTTTAAACGTAGCGTACTGTTCATTTTATCTATTATATTTTGTAGATCGGTGTACTCAAACTAAGGTAGCATTCTACGGTTTCCAACGAAGGCGTATTTGATTTTATGAAATCTAAATTAAAGGTTAAAGTTTCCATTACTTCCTTTCATTTTCAGACATTAACAACAGAACTCCTAATTAACAATTATTTGGGTTATAACTCAGCTTGTGCTGGTATCATGCTGTTTTTGTTGAGTGTTTGAGGAGGGGATTGGATAGCATTACTCGGAATAAACCAGAATAATGACGTTAAGCGAACAAAACAGTTTTAACTTTAAACTTTATCTGACTTAAGAGAATCGTTTACATTGCAATGGAACAGCCTTGTAGTCAGTCAAGTGTTACTAATATCTTGATAAGAAAGGGAAACAAAAGGCAAGAAACGATTTTCTATCATTTAGTCTTGTTAATATATAAATTTAGGCAAGCCTCAAAGCGGAGCTTCACAGTTACATAAGAATATTTTTTTCCATTCTGGTAAATAAGCGGCTAAAATATTAAAGGTACAGTTTCTAGTGGATCATCAGTGTTGAATTAAAATTGCCTACGGCCAAACTAAATACTTTGGTGACACTGCAAAATCTGCTCACGGCACCTCAAATGATCTTGAGACGCAGTAAGATAAATTCCCGATAAAATAAAATGAACTCAAGGTGTCCAAAATTAGCTCATGGCAACAACAAAAAACCAAAACACGGAAAAATCAAAGCAAAACAGAGAGTGGAAACCAGTCTTGAAACTGTAAGAAATCAAATCATTTCTACGCTGCGCGAGAAAATGCCGAAATGTGAAAATAAACAAAAACAAGAGAACAATTACTTTATGAGATGAAGCCTCAAATTCCCAATTAACGGTCGCCAAATGAAACAAACTTAAAAGAAACTTCAAAACGATTAATTCTCATTCAAGATGCAAGACGAGAAAGGTATTGAAAAGGGCGGGAATGTTCGAAATAAAACAAGACAGGCCGTTTTGCATTGGCCGGCCTGTTCAAATTAATTTAAAGACGCACTGTATTACCACGCTAAAAACCAAAGTTGTTAATAAATAGGAACTGAAAGAAACTTAAATAAAAGTCAATTTTCATTCAAGATAAAGCCTGAAATGTATCGACAAACAAGAGACAATTCGTTATACAGCGGCCGCCGACCTGTTCAAATCAGTCGAATTAATTATTCATCCCATAAAACTTATCGCAAATTACATTGCTACACCTTAGGACTCGAGCTGCTTACGCCGTAGCGAATTTCGATACCAGTGAAAACTTTGCAATGAGTCATAAAGTTCTTTTCGCTTATGTATGACAAGGATCGTTTGAGAGACTTCAAGCATGAATTGGCTTGTTCTGCTGCCTGACTGTTTAAGGTGTCCCACTGAGGATAACGGGAGAGGTTGTAAGCATCAGAGCAACCTGAAAAAGAAAAAAAACATGTTCGATTGCTTTGCATTGGTACTGACAAAGTTAAGATTAAAATATTACGTCGAATGTGCTTCAATAAATGTGTGTAATGTGCCATTAGGTTAGTAAGAGGGGATAGACCCGAGAGCATAGCTAAAAGAACACCAAAGATTAAAGATGATACCTGAATGATCCTGCCAATGCAATCGATCCACAAGGAACTGAGAGTTCTTGAAAAAGACAGGATCCCGATTTAAACAATACGAATGCAAATTGCAAGAGTTGTCGTAGATAACCAGGCGGGCACCTGTCAAAAAAAAGGCAGAAAAATTGTAATGAACCTTCTTTTATTATGATTCGTTTAATATAAAATCACTTGGATAGAGGAAATCAAGAGGAGAAAAACTCCTAAAAAACCAGGCCCTGGTTGTTCAACGGGTGGATAACACTATCCAC